ATCCAGTGAATGGGGTTCACTTATGCAAAGGGGACTCTTCCTGTAGGGTGACTTTGGTGAGCGTGGAAGGTGCCTCACAGGAGCAGCCTACTGCCCAGCACTCACCCTGGGATGAAAAATCAAGGACAGCAAAGGGCTCCCTTCTCCCTGTCTTTGAAAAGCAATTTAGATTTGTCATTTCGTGTTTACCAGAAGAGGACATTGCACCCTGGCATGCACGGATCCTTCTGCCACTGCTCATCCAGCTGTGGAAGAGACTGCACTTTGAGTTCAGGTGACAGAGAGACATTCAACCACCCTGAAAACACAAAGTGTATTCCAGGAACAGGGGATTTTCCACATTCTAGAAGTAATATCTTTATTGCTATTCACTTGTCTTAAGAAAATACTCTCCTCCAAAGCCACTGACCGCTGATCCCTTCTGGATTGGCTAGAAAGTTCTGCAGTTATACTGTCAACATTTAGCAGTCTACTGAACTGTGTTTTAAAACATAGTCCTAATGCTTATTATTCTTGGTTGTTTTTCTTTTCTCTTTATCTACCCTGCGTAACACTACTTTCAGGTCTGTTTTCCTTGCCTACAATTTTGATTCATTTGTAACTTAAAAAAAACTCACTTTTTTTATCAACTTGAAGGTAGAGTTTTCAAAGAATTTTCCAATTTCAAGACGGTGTTCGGGTTTTTACTTTTTCTTTTTTTCTTTCTTTCTTTCTTTCTTTCTTTCTTTCTTGAACCAGTAAGGTTTGCCAGATTTAGGAGGTACATTTCCTGGCACTCTGTTCAGTACGCAGAACTACAGCAAGTATGCAAAATTATAAAGTGTAGAGTAATGTCTACGTCTTTCACAAACTTCCATTATTTCCCCACAAAATTGACAAAAACTGAGCTAAACAAATTGGCTCAAAATTTTTTTAATAGCTTGATAAAAGTTCTCAAGATAATTGCTGCTGAACAGCAAATATTATGTTACTTCACGGTCCTCCTCTCACCCGCCTTTCCTGCTTGAGTACTTTGTTGGTCATTAATTGCCTGTGATGAATACCTTCTTCCATTATCCAAATTACAGATCCATCCTCACTAGACAATAGCCAGCTATGCTGGAAGATGAGTGTATTTTGGATTAGGTTTTCTCTATTCCTACAGTTTTACCCAATGGAAATTTGTAAAATGTAGTAATCTGAATGCCAAAAAAGATACAAGATGATGTAAGAAAAAATGATCACATTTTTATAATAGCAAACATACTGCATACTCACACCTGACACCCACATCTCTACTAAAATTTATGGGAAATTTAGTGTTTTAATAGGATTCAGAAACCTAAATACCTCTGTGAATATTGTCCAGTAAAGTAGCTAAAAATATTTCCATCGACTCCAGTGAAATATGGATCAAACCCTTGATATATGATCATTTTACTTATTTCTTATGACAAAATAGACCCTAATACTGAACACATTAAAAGACCACTCTGCTTTCACCTTCTCCCTTCCTTCTCTTCAGTCTTGCATCTCCCATGGCTTGGTTTATTTGTTAGATTTGCTTCATTTACTTGAGTTTCCTTTTTCCCACTGAACACTAAGAAAGGCACAGATTCACCCCACTTTACTTTGGGTACATAACAGAGGCTCCCAAGCCTGAAGCCTCATCATCCCGAGTTCCTTCTCTAGTTCAGGAATAGAGCAGGGTGTCTCTGGAAGACAACTTAAAGGATCTAAGAGCTGAATTACTTCTCTTTTTCTCTCCTTCTCTGCGAACTAAAGAGGAACCTACGGAAACGAGGTTCCTCACTTTGGCCCCTCAGTACACGGCTCACAGCTGGGCAGGATAAATCTAAGCATAGGCATGGAATTTGCCATAGCATCCCGTGGGGACGCCGGATAGCCACTGAATCCACGAAATTGCTCCCACCATGTTTTTCCTGTAAGAAACCCCAAGTCCAAGACCATGGCAGGATCAGAACAGAAAATACTGTCTTGCATGTCCAAACCCTCTTCCCAGCTCTGCCAAAAGCCAGCGCTTCCTTTCTTTCTATTTTCTTTCTCAAGAGTGAATATGCCCCTTGCTTTCACCAGAGGATAAGTAGCCAAAGTAGCTGGCAGGAAGGCCAGCCCTGTCCCTCCCCTCCTTGTCCTCAGGTTGAAGAGTGTTGAATTAAAGCAAATCTCTGTGGTTTCTCCTTATCTCCTGTTTGCTGAAGGAGGCAGCATGCTCATAGTGCCAGACTAAGATTTCAGGATATGCCCCTTTATGATTGGTTCTGCACAAGGACAACTGTTCTGCTGTTCTCCCCCGCGCTGGGCTCAACTTCCCTCAACCCTCATCTCCCCCTCCCCAGTCAATCCCAGCCTGTCAGTGGGAATTGAATATATTTGTTTTCTTCTCTAGTTCCTTCTTGCAAGGGAAAACAGCAGCTGTTGCCCTCCCCATCTCCTGGGAGATCCCTCCACTGCTATTCTTGCCAGAACACTTAGAACTGGATGGGAAAGAGAAAAAATATATATATTTCTTCTGAATATTTGACAATGACAAGCACAGAAACCAGGGCTTGTCATAACATTCGGGAACCACTTTATACAGTCTGATTAATTTACCTAGAGAAATGGTTACCAGATTTGCAATGCAGTTGTGATGGAGACTTAAAATGTCACTTTTCTCCCATCATGGATTTTTATGGTCTTGGAAAGGATGGATTCCATTGTATTCACAGAGTTCCCGGGGGAGGGAGTAAGGCTTCCATCTCAAGATGCAATTTGTGAGGTTCATTTGTGAGGTCTCCTAACCTTACCAAAATCAGTGACAAAACACCTACCGAGTTCAAGAAGAGGAGCACTCCCCCACACAGGTTTTCTCCACAGAACTAGGTAGTGTTCAGGAGTGGCCTGGTCAAAGGGCAAATCTGGCTTCACTGAAGTGATAAATAAATAAATTACCCCCTTAGCTCCGTGGTGTGTTCTGCGCTCTCCAAAGGGAGAGACCCTTATGCCACAGTTTCCCCTTGAGAGTGGACCCTCTTTGTTTTATTATCTGCCACAGGTTTTCTCTCCACTCTTTTCCTGAATTTTTTTCCACCTGCCTCTGTAGCTTCTTCGCTTCTGAGACATCCTTGTGCAAAGCTCTAGATAACATCGCCGTAACGTGGAGAGTTACCAGCTCAGGGTCAAGAAAAGTTTCGGGTGATCACGTACACCCACTTTGCAAGTGGCCAGTTTCAGGGCTTTAGGATAGAGGAAGAAGCCAGTCATCCACGTTTTGTGGCAGGCAAACGGGGAAGACCGAATGACAGTGCTACTGAAACCAGACCTCCCGTGTTTAATAGCAGCTGGCAGTCAGACCTCTCTAGGAAACCACTTGGGCGGATACCCTGTCCCATGTGGTTAAGCAGCTCCCTCTGCCAGTGGTTTCAGAGGGAGAGATCACATACCATATGCACAGCCAGAGCCTTCTGGAGTTAATAAAAAGCTTCTCTCTTCTTCCCCAGAATGTGCTGGATTAACCCTATTAAGATTTCAAAAGTGGTGGCACAAGGAGGTACCTGCAGGCACCAGACTCCGAAGAGGGAGGTAAGCACCTAACCCTCAGAGTAATGCTGAGATGGATGATACGCTTTGGCTACTCAGGAATGACCTTTTTAATACCAACTTTTATTACGTTTTAAAAAATCTTCACAGTCTCACTTTTGGAGTTAACTATAACGGCATAGCATGCTAAAACATGTTACCCTATTTGTGCATTTAACTTTTGTTTATTTTTTCTTCCCCTTTTGCCCAAATGATTTATGAAGAGACCTTTGATTTGGAGCTTTAGGTCCCAAATATCCCTACGACTTCAACTGGACATAATATTTCAAATAGGTTCAAGTCCCAGACTGCAGCCAGAAATAGTCTGCAAGAGAGGGGCCACGGAAAAGATGTGATATATTTGTCCTTAACAGCATCAGGTGAGAAAAGTGACTAGAAGGGAATTTCCACTTATAATACTCCTCTTTGGATTGTGACCCAAATATTTGTGGCTGTGGGACTGCCTCTGACAATGGGATGATTTAATGTTTAAAAAGTGTATCTATCCTTTTCACGGCTGCTATGCTAAAATAAGAACAATAAAATGACAGCAATTTTTAGAGGGAACAGTTGCAGCCAAGCACTGAAATATTCAAAGTACTTTTTATGCAATGCGACTGTTAATAGCTGTGAGCAGCAGGCTAGAAGAGGGCTGAAACCTTCATCCCTGTTAAATGTCATTGCCTCACCTCTTTCTGCAGCTTACATCTCAGAATTCAGTGTTTTCCTCATCTTTTGAATAGCAAAAGCAGGAGCACAAGGAAAGCGCAGCTGTCATTGTGTCAGGCAGGAACTGAGCCTAATGCAACAGGTAATGCTCACAGCTTCCTCTTGCTACACATCCCTCTCTGTGTCTTTTTCCATAGGTTCTTACATTGCAGTCATCATCAGGCTACAGAAATCATTAATTAGGTATTGAAAAAAGAACCACATTCACACAAGGGAAAACAACATCGCTGTATGCACATTCATCAGCATCGCAAGTCGCAGGCATGTTATCTGAGACCTTTAGCACCATCACAGGGATCGACCTCGCAACTGGCAGTGATTTCAATGCTAAATTGGCATCAAAAGGCGACTTTTATCAACGCAGAGATACAAAACTAAACATGAGCAAAACTGATCGTGACCACAGTGTCCTCTAGCTTTAGAAAGGGGGTGGGGAGAAGGGACCTTCTCTACGACATCTCTTGCAAAGGAAAAGGATTAATAAAGTGCTTAAGCTGACAGCACAGGGTACCTATATCCTAGATTCACCCTGGCGTCAATCAGTCAGGACTGGATCCCCCCCCTAAACTGAGCCATTGGCTGAGTGAAGCTACCATCGCCCTCTACATACGCACACACACACCCACACGCACCCCCTTAGTAGCTTGTTGGTGTTACCCTCACATTTCTACATTAAAAATGAAGGAGGAATCAAAAGTTTCTCTGCTTACCGCGTTGAGCCCCAGGAGGTTGTTTGGGAGAGACGAGGTGACTCCCGAGAGGATCGCGGTGGCCACCACTGCCCCCAGGCACTGAGCGATGATGTACATGAGCGCCTTGAAGATGCTGATCTGGCAGCTCAGCAGAAGGCCCAGGGTCACCGCGGGGTTCAGGTGGGCACCGCTGATGTGGCCCACACTTTGTGCCATGGTAGCAATGGATAACCCAAAAGCCAGCGAGACCTTCACGTTGTCTTGAGACCTTGTGGACGTTTTGTTGCCCACAACCGGGAAACTAAAACCCAGAGCCGAGCCAATGCTGATAAAAATAAAGAGGCTCATGGCAAAGAACTCAGCCACCACCGCCCTCCAGAACATTTTCTTTTTGAATTCACTAGCCATCTTTCCCTTCCCTCGCTCTCTCTCTCTCTCTCGCACTTTCCCTTCTTCTCCCTCTCTCCCTTCTTCTGCTTGATATTTTCCCTTTGAGGTCTGAAGAGAAATCTGGAGAAAAAATAGAGTTCTTGGATTATTTATAGGGCTTTGGGTGGTCTGTAGGAGGGAAGGGGTGTTGCACAAAAGGAGGAAAGAACATCTACATAGATGCTGACTGCTAGATTGATGTAAGACACTGCATGCCTGCCAAAGTTTTTTCTTCCCCCTTTTTTTTTTTTTCCCCTTCCCTTAACAGCCTTCGATCTCTGCTGCCGTTTTTAAGAGGCTTTTTTAAAATCTTTGGAAAAGTCTTTAGGAGCACCGCAGGAATTTTACCTTCACTCGTCTGACTTCTCTATCGCCATTCAGCCCACAGACTGGGCTGAGAGCTTTTACAGGATTTCTCCCTCGTGCTGGACTAAACAAAAAGAAAAGTTATCTGTGCAGGCTGGTAAGTTGTTCATGCTCAGCTTCACCGGCAGCCGGTGACATCCGAAAGCAATAAATAAAATCAACAACTAAATCGGCGCTCCAGGGACTTAAATGACTCCGTTTCATTTGAAAACAGGTGGGAACCTCTCCTCTGCTGGCTCTGCGCAGACTTGGACGCATTTCTGATGCCAAGCCTGACAGATGTACAAACATATATGCTTACACAGACTCACACAAACAGGTCTTGACCGACTAACGGTTGCGAGTCGTTCTAATCCCTGCGACCACCGCGTAAAGCTGAAATAACTCCACTGCAGGTCAGCTGGGTGCTTCATACGCCGGCGGTTCGGACCCGAAAGAGCTGCCCTCTGCAGCTAGAGGAGGCGTTCGGGTTTGCAGAAGAGCCAGTCTGATCTAGCCCGCGTCTCCGTGCCCGGCTCCTCTCCGCCAGCGCACGGGGTTTGCATTAGCGCTAGGTCGAAGCGCAGGTTCTCTGCACCCTTTTTGCTCTGCCCTTGAGAGGTTTATGCTTAAGCGGAGGGGAAGAAATCGTGCTGAGGGACGTATGAAATGGGCATTTATTTTGTTTCTTCACTTTTTCCGCCTCCCCCCACCCCCTCCCCGTCCCAACCAGAGGCGTCTCAGGGTTTCCCTGGGCTCGCTCTCCTGCCTTCCTTCCGACCGGCAGGAAAAAAGCCAATCTGGGGGCTTCCTAACCCACATCCTGAAGTGAAAGTATAGCCTGCAGACATCCAGCGCTCCTCTCCTGAAGGTCAGCTGTCCCGGCCCGCGCCGCCCCCGCCGATGCACGGCACTGGCCACAGACAGAGACACAGACTGCGGGACAAGGGAAATTACACGCTTGATTTTGCAGACAAAATGAATCTCCCAGCAGTGCCAGAGCGTCTCGAAGAGCAAAAGGTCTAACCTCTTCTGATGTTATCGCAGCAAGGTTTGTATACATGCCTTAGGTTAACCCCTGCGTTATCAGATCTCTGCGCGCTTTCGCAGCTGGCGGTGCCTTCGCCTCTAAGTCAGAGGGTTTGCTCTGACTTCAAGGATGCACCAGATCTGATCCAGGGTCAGAAGCAAATTGCCCAGGCAAAGTCTGGAAAGCAAGATGACTATTTAAAAACAGCTTACTTCTCTCTCTCTCCTCTTCTTTCTTCTTCTTCTTGCTTTAATGCACTGGTGTCAACTTTTAAATTGTAGTTTAATTAATTCAAGGCTTTCTCACCGAGGAAGTATGTCACTATGAAGACAAAGTCAAATACACACCTGGATAGCATTAGACAGTCAAGAAGGGCTTTTAAAATATATTGAGCTTTCAATAATTTGTTCAGATGCAAAGCTGAAGACTGCTTAAGTAAAAATCTAGATGTCTGCAGCCTGTCATGCCCAAACTCTTATGCTTTCTAGTTCTCAGATGTTCTTGATTTTCCAAAATAACCACTTTTATTTCTTTGTGTTTTATAATACACTTACCCAACAGAACTGTACCAATGGGGCAAAAACAGGAAAAATCAAATAAATTAGGATATGTTAGTTATTGTCTTTTACCCTTCTAATTGCAATGGGGCTAGAATGAGGAATCGCATGCTAGACCAATAAGAAATCAAATTCTGCCCAAGACAGTGTGTCCAATTTTAATGTGAGGTACAATCACAGTCAATTAACCAAGTATTTAAATTAAGTATTTTATTCAGTGGAATTTTTATTTATTGCAAATCCATTCTCTGAAACTTGAAGAGCAGAAGTGACCAGCTTCTCCGGTCCCACCCACAGAATGGCCAAGACACAAGGCATATCTCATACCTCAGGGAACTGAGTGAGGGAAAGAAGAGCTCTATGAATAGTTTACAAGAGCAAGTACTTTCCAGGTGTCCCAAATTGGCATCCGTGGGATGGAGCTGCCTTGCCATTCTGCTGTGCCTGCAGGAAATTCCTTCTTTACTCACCTCTTCCTACAATTAGGATTTGGACTACCTAACAACCTCTGTACCGGTACTGATAAGGCAAGAAGGAATCCCTCACATGAGAAAGACAAGGCATGAGTAGAGCAGCAACGCTCTCCGCAGATTTAACCCCCTTGTGATGATTCCAGCCCTTTGACATCACGGTTTGTCCTAGGGAAATGTCTGTTCAGAAATCTCCTCCACAACGCAGTTCAGTATGGTGCTTTTCTCCAAAATGAGCTCCACCCCATTCTTTCTCAGATTAATGACAAATACCCCAGCACTTGGTCAAGTTTTCTACCCATAGACCCAGTCCCCATAAACTGCTGTGAACCAAAAAAGGGCAAAATCCAGTGTCTTGTGCAATGGATGAGCTGGGTTTGTCCAGACAGGTTTTCTAGGCATGGTTCATAGCTTATTGTCAAATCACACTTGAAGATGAGTTTCGGGGTGTTTTTGGAATTATGCAGCTAGAAATGGAGACATGACCGCCAAGCTTACACAAGTATTTAGGATAGGCAGTGAAGGGCAGGCACGTATCTGATGGGAGCTAGAGGGAGAAAGTAGCTTTTGAGCTGTGGGGTTATTCTTTACAGATGATTTAAATCACTATACACTCTTAACATTATTTATTTGCACTAGAGACAGCTGAGAGAAGAATCAACCTCACAGAAGTGGATATTTAATGGCCAGGATCCCAGGACAGACTCATTTTTCCTCTAAAACAAATCAGATTCTGAAGGGCTGCAGCACAATCCTTGCTTAACAATTCAGTCAGAAAACAAATGTACTCATTGGTTAAGTGGCAGGCTTTGTTCTGTGCTCCCACATGTCACATTGCTCACAGTCTCTCTACTATTTGAACAAGAAACAAATGTGACTACAAGTTTGGTCTTGGCTAACATGACTTCTCCGGGAATTTTCCACTTAGGTGAAGGAATAACGTTGAAGGGCAGAGGGAACGTATGTCGGTCCGGAGACCAAATGACCAGAACCAGGGGCACTTTAGCAAACTAAAATTGTTCTCTTCTTGAGAAGAATTGCAGTCATCCTGCAACTCCACCAGCCAAGTATTTTAGTAGGGTCAATCAAATGTTTTAGCATGCAAGTGGGGATTGCTAGGAATATTTTACTCACAGTTCTGGAAACACCAACAACCACTTTCCGCCTATAGATTTTCACCTCTCTGAAGCATTGCTAACTTTCTCACCACTGTGAAGAATCGTAGGTCCATGTTTTCACAGCCCAGCAATTCAGAAAAATGGAAAGAAGTTCGGCACTGTTAGCTGAAATGAAAACATTTTCCCATGTGCTCTATTCAGTGCCATCCATATAGAAAGTTGAAATTCAGAAGCTGGGTTTTCTGTAAGAAATCATGCTCTAGATCTTAATGGTAAATCACCCTTTGATGGTAAGATTTCCGTGGTTTCCACTGGGCCTAATGGAAACATAGTTATGTATTTCTTATATTCATTGAAACGATGCTTCGAGAAGACACTTAGACCCAGATTCTGTTTTAAATTACACTAGTGTTTGTCTAGGATAATGCCACTGATTTGAACAAATTTACATCACTATTATTTCAGTCAGGAGCTACTTCTTGATCTGACTCAGTTCGCTTTCTGGTTAGAAGAAGACCTCCTCCTGATTGTTATCATAACAAAGTACAAGGCAGTGATTGAGTCAATGCACAGACTCTCAGGAATCTTTCTGCAAGAGAGACACCTGAGCATAACTGGTTCACTACAGCATGACTTAGGTGTCCAAGACTGGAGGTGGTTTCACACTGAATTCCTGACTTATGATCCTAAATTCAGGAAAGAAGGAAGATTTCAGACATATTCCTCTCATATTCCTCTCATAGCATTTCCTATCAGCCGACTTGCTCAATACACCGACTGCTGGGAATGCCTTTCTTAGCTGCTCAGCTGACCCTTTTCCCCGTATGCTAAACTCACAGCCTTTAATATCCTCTTAGAGAGCTGGACACCTAAATCCCTTTGTGAGGCTGGATTTAACTCTCAAAATCTCAGCTGAGAGGATCAAAAGTTATCAATTCTGTGAATCACTGTTGTGCTGGGATCAGAGACGGTGTGTCACTCTCTAATGAGCAAGATGCAAAGGCATAGAGTCCACATGTTTAATTTTCATTTGGTATTTCATGATTCAGTAATATTCAGTAAATTTCATGATTCAGTAGGTTCTACAGACCCACTAAATTTTTTCCTGTTCTTAGATAAAAACCTGTACATTCTACCATGGTTATCTGCTTATTCTAATTTTCTTTTGATGGATTTTCTTTCCTTCTTTTTTTTTTTTTTTTAATCACTACATATGGATTTGTAAGCCTCCTTAATACAATGCCTGTTCCCAGTCATCCTTTTTTTTCTTTTCTTCCAGATCATAAGATAGTAAAGAAAAAAAGATCACAAAACAAAGAAACAAAAGCGAGAGAGAAGTTTAGCACAGAATATATGAAGCAACAAGATCTGTGACTGTATAAATGAATGAATGAAATTCAATATCGGCAGAGGTAAACCTGTTTATATCAATGACCAATTTGATCTAGACAAATAAGACGATGATTAGAAAATTATTTCCTCTTGAAGGAGGTTTCTAAGGTGTCCGAAAAGAAAATCATTCAGTAATGTCCTTGGAGAGTTTGCTTCAAATTTCATCTCCAGTTGTTTTCTCCTCTGAGAATAAAAGACTCTATTGTACACCCTGACAAAATATATAATGGAATAGTGAATGTGTTTGTATAGAAGGCTTTTTCATGGTAAGTGCAACAAAGCCACAGAGATGGCATGTATCTCACCTAACTGTAGGAATCTATCACAAAAATGTCTCCAACTAAGCTGCCGTCCTTTGGCTCACTTTTTAGTGAATGCGCAGTGCGGACATTTTCAGGATTTCTGTGATTGCACAGCTTCATTTTAGATATCTACAATTCATTGACACCGTTCCCACAGCTATTTAGGGTGCCCTGGCTGCCTAGCTCCAGAATAAACACTTACTTTCTCTGGGAATCCTAATTCTACGGCCACAAGGGCTGTACCAATCAGGTCCATCAAAGGACTGCTACTCTTTATTTAACACATCTATGATACGAAATAATAAAGATGATTGATTGTCTTCCAACTGGTAGGTAAAAGGCAATTTCCCAGGCAACTTCTAAATCAGCCTGCACCAGGAACAAGGTTTGGTAAAGGGCTGATTGTCTCGTCACCCCAAGTTCTCGGCATCATCTCTTCCAAGGAAATGGTGTTATGAGTCACAAGTGCCCGCAAGTCGTCGTGTGGAAAGGTTAGTTTCTCTGGCAATACTACCACACTAAGGGTTAAATTCTTTTTTTTTTTTTTATTTTTCCCCCTTAGCAAACATATTTAGCAACAATTGTCCTTTTAAGTTTCCTGTGCCCAGTGCATCACTGGGAAGTTGACCAAGTTTTTTCTTTTTCTTTTCTTTTTTTTTTCCCCTTCACATTATGTTACATAAAATGACAAGTCTGCCAGGAATACTGGGCATGACACATCCCTGACTGTGCCTTGGTAGTTCATTACGAACACAGGAGGTGAATAAACCATTGTTACTTGCGATAGGAAAGTTTTCAGTATGGATCACAGTTTGCTTCTAAATGTACAGACAAAAATCAGGGTCAGTCTTCCGCTCCCATAATTCGCGGGGCTCCACTGGAGAAATGCTGGTTATTTTGTTTTTCGGGTGCTTGTTTTGGGGAAAGGTTTTGCATGTGTATTTTTGTAAGTTTTGCTACCCAGATTTCATCATTGCTCTATGCTCTGTTTCACCATGGCTCTGTTGCTCAGGCTTACAGCCTGTGCTTGGCACAGTCTGAAGTGCTGATTCAACATCACAGACTTCCTTATAATAGTAAATCTCTTTCAACTGCCAAGTGTTATAGGGCACTGGATGTTGAGCTGATATAAAAATAAAAGGGAGACCTTGAGGTGAAAATTGTGACATAATTCCCAAGCAGGAGAAAGCCTTGGGGTGAACGCAGGCAGGGTGATCACACGACAACAGTCTAATTTGTCAGCTGGACGTATTAAATCCACGAGATCACACTGCAGCAGCAAAGTAACTCATCAGCTTAACATAGCCTGCAGAAATAAAGCAATAAAACAAAATGTAGGCAAAGTGCTTGTATGCATGATAGACTATTAGGTCAGAATATCACAGTAACTGGAGGATCTTGAGACATTAATGAGTCTTTCCTCCATTGCCAATTAGACTTACGCTCCTCTTGGCAGTAGTTTGTCTACGCTGTCTTAAATACCCTCAAGTATGGTGATTCTTGTACCCCTCTAGAGGAGCCAGTCCAGTGCTCACCGTTAGAAAGGTTTCCTAATATCTAGACTTCCTAAATCATCTTTGCGGCAATATAATGCCATTCACACTCAGGCTGGAAAATAATTTATTCCCCTCCTCTCAAAAATGTTTGAAATTTTTTAAGATTATTATTATTCTCATCTTCTTTCAAGACTAAACAACCGAATTTCTTACAATTTTTCCTCATTGTTTGAATTTTTTCTTGACTTTGATACACGCACTTCTTCCCGCTCTGGTGTTTACATGATTATAACATTGTGTATTTTCTCTATAGAATAACCCCCTTTCCTCTTCAGACCAGTTTTAAAATTCATAAGGTTCATCTCAAATTCTATTGGGGCACAACCAGAGTACTGCCAGCCCTTCTAACTCAATAACATTTGCAAATTCGAGATCTATTCACTACTCTGTCACTGAAGATATGAAAAATAATTGAGCAATAACACACCAGAACAGAACATAGCATAGCAGCGTCCTCAATTTTGAAAGTGAACCATTCCTAAGTAATCCTCAAGTGCAATTTTCTAACATATATGCACTTACATTACTGCAGTTTTGTAATCCTGGATGGTATTGCCCTAGCTTGCTTATGAGAACAGCATGCAAGATATTACTCTTAATTTGAATAAGGTCAAGAGATATCACATCTATTGCTAGTTCCCTATGCACAAGCCTTGTTGCCTTAAAACAGAAGAAAGTCCTCAACAATAGTAGGACTCATCCCATTTGACTTTAGAGAGCTATCTTTGTTAGTCACACTTGTTTCCCTTATCACCAAAGGAGACCAATTGGCACATGACTCACCAACCTTGCTTCATACATCTCCTTCAGATCCGTGACACCAGAGACACCGTTGACTATGTTGATCAGATCTTCACTGAGTATAAAGAGAACCTGGGTATACAAAGATGCTATGCACTTCTGTGACTCAAATTATTAGCAAAATCGATCATTATTTTCCCCGGAACAAGAACAGAGCAGGGTGGCACTGGGGAAGCAGTAGGAAGACCAGCCAACTTTACCTACTCTGACTGTAGTAAATGCATAAGTTGCAGATGAGAGCAGATTACAGATTCTTGCGGAGAGGAACTATTACAAACAGAATCAGTTTCCTGGTGGCTGTGTTTCACTGGCAAACACTATATTTAGCACGTGATCAGCAGCATACATACCAGTAAATCTACATAACCTGAGGAGCCTCGTTCTACATTTAGTTACTTTAGAAATGAAAGACCTATGAGGCCCAAGTATATAGGCACATGTAGGCAAAATGTCTGCAAGCCCTTGAGCTAGGATATGTTCCTTTCCATGCCGAAAGGAACCGCCACAGTGGTTCATGCTGCGCAATTTGGGCTTGCACGGCCATGGTAAAAGAGGGCATAGATATTTGTTACACATTTGGCACCTTGCAAATCCCTTTGGATCTGCATGTGAAAGGACCAAAAACTCTGAAGGTTACTTTTTAGGAGGGTGGCTTTAAAGGAAATGCAATGACCTCCACTGTGAAGACGACCCACCTTCTCTCTATCATATATTAGAGTGAGATGAATTACTTTCAGAAATTGCCTGTCTTCCTCCACCAACTATAGAAGGACACCAGGTGATTAGCTTAAACTTGATATTTAACTTCTAAATGACTTAAGCTAGGTGAAAACGATCCCGCTCTATGTCTTAGTGAGTATCACAGATCAAATGAGAAACTGAATCCAAGCCTTGTGATGTCCATAGTCTTGAGATCAAGTCTTTCCTTTTTCTCAAGAGAGCAGAGAACGGGTTATCTTCGAACAGCTGACAAACAGCACAACAGGTGCTACTCATCCTTTGTGCTCACCAACACAGCCCCTTAAGCCCCCTTGGTGATCCAGCTTTCCTTCTATCCACTGTCTTATCTCTCTTTTTATTAGAGGTACTACCTGCCTGCCCATTTCTGAGTAGGCAAGAAGCATAACTACAAGCATTTGTGCACTGTTGAAGGTACAGTGTACAGTATCATCCCTACGCTTTTGTGGACACTGTAATTCACTGTAAACACAATCCAGGCTTTTGCTGAGCGCACTTATGATTATGGCTTCCTTGGGACCACCCAGCACCTTGCAATGTGAGTCCATATGTGGCCACTCATTGGTTGACCACATCCCCCTTTCCCCGTCACCTTTTGTCCTTCTCTTCTTTATTTCTCATTTACATCAAACAGATCCTTTCTGTCTTTTTTTCCAAGTTTAAAAATCCTGTTCATTAGAAGCCAGCATCAGATGCCAAGAGTGAGAGTAAGTCTTTAGTATGGCTTGTTATATTCTGTTCTCATCTCACCTGTAAAGAATGGTCCCTATCATATTCCCTGCTATTTTTCCATTTCTTTGTGCTACTGTAAGGCAATAGGATTTAAGTGTTTATTGCACACAACTTTGTCCTCTATAAGAGCCCATTAGAACCTCATTGTCTGACACTGAAGACGTTCACATTGATTCATTATGCTGCATCAGGAAATAAAATAGCGATCCTGGAAGAAAATGAGCTTTTCTAGAGCTTGCTGTAGTGATTTAAGACTTACTTATTCCTGTGTCCAGTGCCATCCCTGCACTGCACACTCGTCGTCCCACAGGTAAGCTCTGGTCAGGGTCATTGTTCAGCAGAGAGTCTAACATGCTCACATTGGAGTGATTTAAAATAAACCAGCCGGCTTTGACAGAAATAGATCACAAATGTGCGTTTTGTCCTATCTCAGCTATCTGGGTAGAAACTTGCCTTTAATGGATGGTAAAAGACGGCTGGAGAGAAGCCCACTACAGCTAATGTGGCGTAAAGAGAGCTGGACCGCACCCTTAATTTGTGTATTGTCACATTCATTCCCTCCACTGAATGAAGGCAGGGATAATTATACCCCCCATCAGAGTGTGCCAAGCTCTCAGTAACTCCAGACTAAGTATTTATATTCCACTGTAAAAGTTTGCAGTTGGTTTTACATAACACGGTTTTCCAAGCTTTCTGCTTCCAGTGGGACCATCAGAATACCTGCGAGTGGTGCAAATACTATATTTTTAATGTGTTCATTATCATTTAGACAATTGCAGTATATAACCATTTAAGTATTGCCTAGATACGTTAAATTCCCAGAAAGTGAATTAAAAATAATAACAAAAACACTGGCACATGCCATGAAATTGCTTTAAAGGAAAAAGGAGATTCAAAGAAACAAAGCTTGTATGGCAAAAGCCTAAGTAAAATCAAGTCAGAACTATGTATATTAATTTAAAATGTCAATACCTTGTTCACTCTTATATCTTTGATTCTCACTTTGAGACATGGGTTATGTGACAGGAAGCTTTGTGTATCTTCAATCAGGGTGCCAAAATGGGGAGGAGGGCCATTTTCAATGGGTAAGATTTTCTAAACAAGGAAGAAACATAGGGATAACGGGACAGGACTCATCACCTATCTTCCCTAAAATGAACGTGGGATTCAAATAGCATTCTTTTCCCTCCTGCAGAAAATCTCATACCCCCAGGATTACTGCCATAATGTGGAAAGCATATCCACTGGCCATGGCATAAATCGAAAAGGAAGAAGACTCTGTCAGTAATCATCTGCCATGGAGGTAGAAGAGGCATGGTTCACTGACTTTCAGAAGAGGTGGATCAGACCCAGAAGGAGTAGGATGGAGACTCACTTTCTTAGCAGGTAGGGGTGGCAGACCCCCTTTTTCCATGGCTAGGCAGCAGGAGTGGTGGGAATCTCCTATCGACTCCCCTCTGCAGGCCTGAGAAAAGCCTTCTAGTCCAGCAGCATCCAGCAGAATTACTCAGGGAATGACTATCAGCTCCCAAGACATTTCTGAAGCAAATATTTAGTCCCTCTCCACCGTTCTTTGCTCCAAGCTTGGAAAGAAGGAACCATCAGAGGTGGAAATGCATGTAATGACTAGAGACTTAGCAATTTG